TCTGGGGGCTCACTGTGTGGAGAAGTGGGAGGTGCAAGGGCATGATCCCCCAGCTTTGGCCTTGCTGGTGTTCGGAGGCCCCTGCCCACCCCACCGCACCCTCAACCCAGGCTCAGAGACCTTCCGGAAGACAAGGGCGATTCCCCTGGCTCTGGCTCAGGATTTTGGAAAGCCTTAAGCTGGTGCGTGGGCTTCTGAAGTCCATGCCAACCCCGATGAGGAAGTGGAAAGGAAGCTTTCTGTCACCTTGTCATAGATTCAGATCAGAATGTTAGTTAAGCACTGCTGGCTTAGCTTAGCCTCAGAATCAATGGTCTGAAAGACTCACTGTGTCTGCAAGGTTCAGCCCTTTCTTCCTTATCCAGTAGGCCAGCATCTCCCACCCCAAATAAACCATCACCGTCCCCTGAGGCTCTGTTTCCTAGTCTGAGAGGGGGACTTCTGCAGTGGGCCCCCTTCTCACTGCCCATCACAGGGTCTTCACTTCTAGAACCCAAAGTCCAGAGGCCTTGCTACAGCGCCCCCTGGCTTAGCCCCAAGGGCCTGGCCGTGTCCGGGGTGGGCAGAGCCCCTAGCCAGCCCAGAGAACAGGAGGAGAAAAGGCCAAGCCTCCTGACTAGAGGTAGGGCTAGCAAGGGGCGCCCCCAGGATGTGACTCGTCCCCTCATCAAGCCAGTGCTTATCCCGGAGCCTGGCCTGGAGCCCTCTGAAGACAAACACACCCCACCCAGCCAAGAGGCCCACTGGTGTTCTTCCACTTCTCCCTCTGGAGGCCCCAGGAGGAGGAAGGGACAGGCATGAGTTCTGCCACATGAGGAGCACAGCCACCTCTGCTACCCCAGGCTGGGCGCCCTCAGCAGAGGCTGCTTCCTACGAGAGCCAGGGGGAGCTCTGGGGGCACACATTAACCAGGCATTTGCGGTGGGGTCTAGAAGGATTTGTGCCCCTTCTCCCAACAGGAAAGTAGGACTAGCCTGTGGTTTGGGGGCTACCTCAGCTCCAGGATGGATGTGGTGGTGTGTGGGCTGGGTTCTCAGCCAGGAGAGATGCCTCATTCCTAGTCTTGTTGCATAGGTCAAGGCTGACACACCTGGGAAAACTCAGCAGGCTGAAATGTGGGACTCCCTTCATGGGTGTGTCACCACCCCAGGTTGAGTGAAGGGAGGGAGCCTTCCTGTGGAGCAGCCTCAGAGGTGGTCCCACCACAGCGTCCTCTCTGCAGCCCTAGGGTCCCTGAGCAGGAGCTTCCAGAGACTGGGAGGCTCTAGCAGCCTCCAGCTGATTCCCAGCTTCCCAGCTGGAAAGGCTGTGACAGAATCCCAGGAATGTGCCTTGAGCTCAGAGAGAAAATTCCCAAAATAACTTCTATAAATATTTGAGGGTAGGGGTGGGGAGGGAGCTCTCAGCCTAGCCTCCAGCTGGCCTAGCGCTAAGGGCTAACTTCCCAGGGCAGGCCTCCCTCCCCACCCCACCCCCACCCCCAAAAAAGAAGAACAAGGCGCACAGAGCCAGGACCTCCCTGCTGCCCCGCCCCTCCGGGGGACAGTGTCAGGCACTGAGTTAATGGGGTAAGATGGTATGCAGTGGCGATTATGAAAAATAAGACCAGATCCTTCGTCCCCATCCCAGGCTGCAGACCCTGACCGCTCCCAGTACCTCCATAGGGAACCTGGGCTCCTGACAGGGAGGGTCTTCCTCACAGGGCCCTCAGGCTCCCTGTCCTTGTGGCCCTAAGCAGGTCACTAAGCACGCCTGAGTGCCTCTGGTGTACCTGGCTCTGAACCCAGGACCCTCCCACCCAAGCTCTGTTGAACTGCTATCCTGTGGGGAATGGTCAGGCAGGCAGGAGCCAGGGACCTGTCCCCCTGCCTAGGGGGAGGGACAGGGCATGTATCGCATGCGACAGCCCACGGTAACAGAGTACAATATCATGGTAATGGTGTGGACAGGGGGACTGGTGTCCTCAGGGAAGGCTTACTGGGGAATAGGGCCCCAGGTGGATGAGATGTGGCCAGGTACACCCTCCTCCCTGAGATCCAGGAAGGGAGGGAGGGAGGAATGGATGAAGTCAGGAATTTCTGGGATTCCTGAGGCACAGCCCTGCCAGTCCCTGAGCAGCTACAATAAACCCTGGCCCCCTCTTATAGGCGCAGTGCTCCGTCGCTATAAGCAGCTTGCACCTTGTTTTCTGATCTCTGTGCGCAGGCAGCACAGCTATGGCCTCTCTCAGATGAGGGTCACCCAGCAGGTCTGGTTTCTCTGGGCTCAAGGTACCCCCTGGCCAGGTTAGGGAGGAGTCAACAGGGACATTTGGATGGAATGGTTTACCCACCGTCTCCCTGGAGACCCGGTCTCTAGGCAGCTGTGGGTAGGAGTGCCAGTGGGCCCTCAGCAGTGCTGGGCTGAGGGCAGAGCAGGTGAGACCTCGCGTCTTCCTGGGGCAGGCCCTGCCCAGTTGTCAGGCAGCAAACAGTTCCAAGTTGCTACCAAACATGAACCGGCTGGTGTCTCGGGCAGGTGGCAGCAGATCTTGTTACAAGCCCTGGGCCTCTGGGCCCCAGCCTGACCCCAGCTTTGTATCTCCTTTCAGGCTCTAAGGTCAGCACCCCAGGGTGGGGGGGACGTGATCTAACCCCAGTCTAGCCCCACAGGGAGCCCTGCCTGCTAGAGAAATCAGCTGTTCCACACCCTTTTGCACCCACCCACCCACTTCCCCAGGACCCTCTGCTCATCCTGGGAGACTTCCATTTGCTGTCTGCCCACTACGTGTCCTGCTCCCCGATTTCACGCTTATCATTGTAGAATCCTCATGATAGTCTATGAGGAAGGACTCTTCCGTTTCCTCGTTTACAGATGAGGAAGCCACAGCTCAGAGAAAATGGGCCAGTTGGCCAGGGTCATTGCACTTGTCAGTGGCAGAGCTGGGGTTCTTGTGGCTGTGGAGCCTTGGGCTTGTGCTCTACGCAGAGTATGCAGAGGAGCTTACTGCAAACCCTCCAAACTGAGAATAACGCATGCATGAGTGCACACACACACACACACGCACGCACGCACGCACGCATGCACGCATGCCCTGTCCAGCCCACAGACATATCTGGCCCCTTTGCAAACATCCACACGTTTATTGAGATCAGGGGTTTTCAAACTCATTTTTAGACAGAGCCCTCTCTTCCAGAAGCTCAATATAGAAATCTTAGCGTGTAAAAGCCACCGCGGCCCCGCCCGCCTGCTGGCCTTCCCCATTTGTCCACTGTCGCTCCCCCATGGGCAGCACTCACAGGGCTCAGACCTTCCATTTTTGGTGCTTAATTTTGGTGTGTGGAGGACTGTCATCTCGCCTTCCTTCCCTCCTCCCTGTGGGCCCTGTTCCATCCAGAGCTGCTCAGGAACCAGCTCCCAGGCCCTGTGGGCAGAATGGTTTGGCCTGGAGCCCTGCTGGCCAGACTGGGCACGGCCCTCTGGTCCTAGGCAGCCCTGAGTCAGCACCACTCCCATCTGGCCAGAGCCAGAGCCCTGCCTCACGCTCCACCCGGCCACGGCTCCCCTGTCCTTCCCTGTCCCCTGCCCCATCCACAGGGTTCCCTGGGGATGGCTTTGCCCTGGGCTGAAAAGACTGAAAGCAGTTCCCCTTCCTTTCCCACCCCCTGGCCCCAGGACCGCCAGTCAGCACCTCCAGAGCACCAACTTTCCCTCCTGCCTAATTGGTCATGTTCCAGGCTCTCGGAGGACTTGATGAAATCAGCCATGTGCATCTTCCCCAATGGGTCTCCATAGCAACGGAGGGCTTAACTCTGGGGAGCACAGTGAGGAGGAAAATGTTCCAGCTAAAAATGTACATGGCCATCAGTGGGCGGGCACCCGAGAGGGGGCTCCCGGCACATAGAAGGCAGCTCCCCACCCCCACCCCAGCCCCGCCTGTCCAGTCAGTCAGTGCTGTTCATGCTTTGCCTCCTATCTTTGAACGAGAAGAGCCCCCGCCCCCACCCCTTGCTGCCAGCTCATGCCACCTCAGAGGGCTGGAACACAGATCAGTGGGACAGTATGGTACAAAGCAGCCCTTCTGGGACCAGAGGCCCCTGGCCCCTTCCCACCACCCTGTTCCCCTACCTCCCTGCAACCCTTCCCAGTGTGGGTGGAAGTCGATGTAGAAGGGCAGGGTGCCAGTTTCACTTCCCAACCCCTTTTTATGTCAATTCCTGTCACTTCCTGTATCTCTTGGGCAACGGGGTTGTTGGAGCCAAATGTAAGGCCAAGCTCCTGAGCACCCTGACCCGGAGCCCTCCTCTCACCCAGCACCTGTCCCTGGTCCCCAGTCATCTGACTGTCCTGTATGACTTTCACATACCAGGCCAGGCTGGAATGGACGTTAGGTCCCAGGACCCAGACATCCCCAGGAAGACTGGCTACGGATGCAGGCAGAGGAGCTGCCCCACCCACCCCGAGCTCGAGGCTTTCCCCTCAGTTAGAGTCTGGAGCCTGCAGCATCCATTCCTCAGTCTCAGCGTCCCTGGGGAGAAGGGCAGCTGGGCAGTGCGGCAGCAAGGCTGAGAGTCACAGACCCATTGACTGAGGCTCATGTAGGCCAGATACCGTTCAAGGGCTCTACATAGACTGACTCATGTAAACTTCACATCTCTCCAGGTGGCTGTGTTCTTCCCCATTTATAGATGAGGAAACCGAGGGCCAGAGAGTGGTGGCTTGCCCAAGATCCCCCAGCTGGTAAAGGGGAGACTCAAAGCCAGGCGTGCTGACTTGAGAGCCCACCCCTTGGGGCCAGGGAGGACACAGCTCCCACAGTGGGGGATCTAGGAGTTTGGGGAAGGGACAGGTAGGATTTGCATTAGTCAAGGGCACAGTCGCTTGACCATACCCAAGCCTGAGACACCAAGCCTGGAACCCTCTCTGGCTGGTGGTGGGTGGCCAAGCTGCTTCCCATTCCTTGCCCCTGCCGCAGGACATCCTCACTAACCCCCCCCCCCCGCCCTGTGCTTGCTCTTCAGGGTCTGATGCTGAGTCGGCTGGGCCACAAGAGCCTGGCCCAAAAGGTGCTACGGGATGCCGTGGAGAGGCAGAGCACCTGCCACGAGGCGTGGCAGGGCCTAGGCGAGGTGCTGCAGGCCCACGGCCAGAGCGAGGCTGCCGTCGACTGCTTCCTGACCGCCCTCGAGCTGGAATCCAGCAGCCCGGTGCTGCCCTTCTCCATCATTCCGCGGGAGCTCTGACATTGCCCTGCAGCAGCAGGGAGAGGGGGCTGCCCGGGGTGGCGGGGAGGGAGGTACAGACAGGCAGCAGGGAGTCTGGGTCAGGAAAGCTGTGGGGCCTCAGGGAAATACATTCTCTAGGGAACACTTCTGCAGGCTGTAGCCCTAGTTCACCTCGCCTCCCCTACCCCACCCCTGCGCTCCCTCCAGGGCCAGCTGGGTGTGGGAGCTGCTCATCTGGAGCTGGGTGGACCAGATTTGCATCAAAAGCAAATTCCTTGTTCCTTGGGACATTGTGACATTTATGAGCTAGGAAGTATCTGGGAGGCCACATCAACATGGGGGGCCCTCCCCAGAGTTTCTGTGCAGTGAGGGTCTGTGTGGCTTGGATACCTCCCCCCACCCATCCGGAAACCCCTACTGTGCCTGTCACCCTCTTTTACCATCCCTGACCCTGGATTTCCAGCTTTCCACAAGCTTTAGTCTCAAACCTCAGCTCACTGCTCTCCAACACCAAAGATGAACACCGCAAGCTGCCCTCTGGCTGGGCCGAGGGGGTTTTCCTGGGTTCCTTCCTCGGCTCCTCAGGAGACAGTCTGCTTGAACCCTAAGTGACTTAGAGTCATGGTGACTGGACTTGCTCCCCAAGAGCCTCACAGCTGTACTTCACCCCACCCATGCCTCTGTGCCCTGGGGAGCCCCGTGGCTCTGGTCCCATGCCCCAGTCTCAGGACAAGGTTTTGAAGCACTCTCAGGTCTTGCCCGTGGCAGTCATGGCTTGAAGAACCTGCTGGCAAGTGGGAAGAGAATGGACCTCTGGGTTCCTTTCCCAGACTTTGCGTTGGTGGGTGATGCCTGGTGTTGCCCTTCTTTGCCCAATGAGGCCAGTTGGGTCTCACTGTGCTCTTCCTCTGTGCTGCCAAGTGCCTTTGGGGCCTCTGGTGACTGACCAGGGCACTGAGCACTGGTCCTAACTAACCTTCCATTTCCACCCACCTCTGTCTCCCTGGAAATGCCCCACCCAAAGCGGCCTCCTTAGGCCCTAAACCATAGCCCCAGGATGGGCCTCAGGATACAAACATGGCTGCTGAACCCAGCCCTTTCTAATACCTTGCACCAACACATCATTCCTTCAAGCCTTATCATTCTGGGCAATGGGTACAATGCAGATCACTCTAGGGGTTTATAATGTGGAGATGGGCAGTCTCCAGGACTGTCTCCAAGTCATCTCATCACCCACAGCCCATTTTCACCACTGGCTTTTTTGGGTAACCTGAGTCCCACCATGGCCATTTGGTTTCCCCTGCCTGGCACCCAATGACTGTGGTTGAAGACCTGAGGAGGAGATGGAGCCTGGCACCTCCTAACTAGTTGAGTAGACCTCTGTACATGACACTGTTGTCTGCAGGGGTCCTGGGTGCTGGTGGGTGGGTGTCTTCCCTGCTGCTTCCCTAGTCTGCTGTATGAGACTCTTGGAATTCTTCCCAAGAAGTCAGCCCCCCGTGGGGCCTATCAGGGAATCTTTTTTCATCTGCACTTTGGGTTTTTGTTTTAAAGCTCCATCAGGTATCTCTCTCATTTTACGGTGTGTGGGAAACTCAGGCAGGGGCTGCCGTGGGTTGTCATAGCCCAGTCTTTCTGTTGGAGACCTGCCCTCCCTGCTGCACTGGCTCAGCACTGCACCCCAGGTACTTCCCAGGGAGAGCCTGTATCTCCTGGCCTCGCCAGGCGAGCGACACTGCAGAAAACGCCAAATCCTTTACCTCCCGGTTGAAGGATTTCTATATGTGTATGTGTGTGTATAAATATATATATAATAGAGATCTATTTTTCTGGAATTCTGTTAGGAAAAAGTAAACAAGAAGCAGATACCATTGATTTGCCTTGGGGTGCCCAAAGACGTTGGTATCCTTGGTGATAGGAAAGGCACCATTGCGTTTTGACTTGTATATGCCCTCGGAGGAGGCCTCAGCGGGCTGGGCCAAGTTGCTGACAGTTCACAAATTGAATAAAGAGACCCTTGAAGGGGAAGCAGATTTGTCTGACACCGTGTTCATTCAGCACGCAGGTGGCCCCGGAACAGGCCTTGAGGAGGAGAGAGGCCCAAGTCCTGAAGGCCAGGGCCTGGGCCCCGCAGGTGGGGAGGAGTGTGGAGGAGAGTGAGTTAAGCTCCCTGTGGGAGAGTGGATGGGCGTGGTGGAGGCTTGGGGAGGGCTTTGAGGTCAGGCTGAAGCCTGGAGGTGGCTGGGAGGAAACAAGGGGGCCAGTCAGGGTTGGCTAAAGCAGGTCTCATTGTGGCCTGCCACCTGTCCTTAGGTAGCCCTGAGCCCCTGCTGCCTCCAGGGCCCAGCTAGGAGAAGCCAAAGCCAGACTTGCCATCTGAATGGGAGCGACTGTCCCAAGGTCACTGCCAGTGGAGCCCCTTCAGCTCCTGGGGGAGAAGCACCAGTGAGGGGTGTGTGGTGAGGACCCAGGCCGCATGCAGATGAGCCACCTGGGCCGAGACGTCCGTACATACCTATAGACTCTTAACATGTAAGTTATACCACATACCGACGTACTACATATGTTAAAAAGTGCATGGGGCCGGCTGAGTGGCGCGGTGGTTAAGAACTGGCTTGGGACGCCAGAGGTCCTCGGTTCGGATCCCACATATGAGGGCCAGTGACACTGCCCTCCACAGCTAAGATGCTGAACAACAGCTCAACCTGGAGCTGGGCTGCAGCCCCTG